TGTGTGTGTGTGTGTCCAACGGGTCGTGTGTCCACTGAACCAAAGATGACATCACGGTCTCCAAGGATACCCCAATGATTAAATGATGGCTGTTGGTAATTTTTTAGTCAATTCATCCAAAATTCCTTCACACCGAATTCTTTCAGAGGCTCAAACTTCCTCCACCTTCCAAATGCTGCACCGTTGTTCATGCAAACAGATTTAAACTCATAGTTCAGGAGCCTTGGGAGGTTCGAGCATCCACAACTTGGCGTTTCAGCAACCTCTGAGGCATTTATGGGAAACATGTGGAAGCCCTCGATCATAAATTATGTTCATTTCGTACAAGAGGCTCAAAAATGTTAGTGATTATACCTTTTAATTGACTACTCAGAAGGGCATGGCAGGAATGACATGCTTCATTGTTCTCACAGATATGAAGAATTACAAGGATTCTTTGACCTGATTGACTCAATCAGTTTTAATATAAAGTTATTTATGTTGTTCAACACACACATGCTATTACCAGGCTGTAGTGGCAAAGCATTATTTCATGGTGTTTTGGATTTATCTAATGCGTAGCATTGCGGTTTATATTTTTGGCATCTCCTGTAACTGATCCCTCTATCCGGTGTGACTCATGTGATTAACAGAAATACAACAGATGGGAATTTATCTTTTTTTTTTTTTTACATTTGCTTTTTTCCTTCCCTGCTTGTTATTACAGAATGAAACGATGAATAACGAGATTGAACTAACTGAATCGCAAAACTCATGGATTATTCTATTTTTACATATATGTAGTTCATCCCACGGGCAAAAGAAAACTATTTCTGAATACAAAATCATCTGATTGAATATTATTCGATATCATCGGTGCATCTGAAGCTGCAGGCCGGTGTTTAGGATATTTTAGCCAGAGGTGTTGGACAGTGTGATCCGAAGAACTAGAAATGTGGTGGAGAGACAAAGCAGCCTGTGTAGAAGAAGCTATCAGCCTCAGTGTTCTGTTGTTGTTGTGTGTGTGGGTACTGCTCCGTGTAATATTTTGGCTACCAAGTTCTTTCTTTAACCTTTTGTTAATCTGTGATGACATTTCTGGTAGTTTTATGCTTGACTGCTTTGTGTGCTTTGAGTGTCTTGGTGTCTGTACACAAAGTTTTCTGGGTACTGCTGCAGTGCAAGGCGACAAAAATGATTTTCAATATTAATGCTTTTTAAAATTAGGGCTGCACGCTGTATCATTTTAACACTGAAACTTCAGTGTGTGTCACATTGTAGGAAGTGTAATATGAAGACAGGCAAATTAAATCAAACACATTTTGCTTAATATAAAAACTTGCACAGTTCATAATTACCTGCAAGACAAGTCTGTCAGATAGAACACAATATACTCTGACTATAAGCTTCTTGGATACATTGAGTTTCTTTTTAAAAAAAAACTTTATTCACAAGACATGGAGTTTGTTGACATGCAGGTTCCACATGTTTACAGGAAAATGAGGAACAGGAGAGACACTGCACACTTAAAAGGAAGACTTGGTTGCAAAAAAGGAATTGCAGCATCAGTTGTATGTAAATATTGTGGTCACAGAAAGGATAATGATGACCAAAAACACATCCTATTTTTTGATAATTTAAATCAGCACCACAAAGCCTGATCTTATTTTTTTTTATGCCTTTGACGGTGTTACGCCATATGAGAAAGTATTTAAATGGCTTTTTTTATACTTTTTAAAAAATTCATTTTTTAATTTTTGATGCAGTTTCACCCTCTTACAAAACCACACAGTCATTCTAAATGGAGATGTTGAAGTCATCTGATGGAAATTCCTGCATTTTTTCACATTTCAAAAAACAAAATAATGCAATGTCAGTTTTTTTTCCAATAGCGTGCAGCTCTAATGACAGGTCCCTTTTGCAAACTAGCAGAATAGCAACATACCCAACATTTAAAAAGATAGAAAAGGAAGTAAAAAAAAAAGCAAATCTTTACGTTCGAGAGGCTACAGCCCACAAATGTTTGAATATTTACTCATTCATTCGCTGATCACGAGACATTTTTCAAATTCAGCCACTATCTGTGCAGAGTTGAAACTCAATCAAATCCAACCACAACTTGTAAATATTGTGTTCCTTTGTACCTGAGGTGCAGTATATCTTCATCCTACTAATCACAAGTCTTTGTCTCTTTCCTTTCAGGTGATCACATCATCCTGGGCCTTGTGGATTGTCTCTCTGCCTTTATCTGAAGGGATTCCCTATTGATTACTGCGTCCGAACAAAGCCCATGGATTACAGTGAGGGTGTTGGAAAGGCCTTGATTACAGCTCCGTTAACACTATGACATATTTCAAGTCAAGAAAAGCTACAGCAGAAGACTGACAGGAGTTTGTTTTTGTCACATTTCTCTTTCACATTTCAGATCTTTTTTTTCGGGACACCCATCATACATTTATTTCCTGCGCTTTGTGTAATTTTGAGCATGCATTTTTGATTCACTCATTTGACCCAGATCTCTGCAGCAAACGCCCCACTTTCTCTCACCATGTACGGTAGTTCCCGTTCCGTCTCTAAGCTGGATGTCGTTGGATCCAACGGTAACGGGTCGGCGTCTGGGAGTCCCGGCCGCTCCCCACGCCTCCCGCGCTCCCCACGTTTAGGACACCGGCGAAACAGCAGCAGCAGCTCCACCGGTGGGCTCACTGGCACTGGGAAAACTTTATCCATGGAGAATATTCAGTCTCTGAATGCTGCTTACGCAACTGGGGGCCCCATGTACTTCACCGACACGGCTGACGACCCGGTCGGCATCGGGAGTCTGGGCAGCGGGCTGAATCCCTCACTGCCCAAAAGCACCATGACCCTTGGCAGGGCCGGGGCCAGGGTCCCGTATGGGGTCAGGGCGGCCGTCATGGGGAGCAGTCCCAATATAAACACTGGAGGAGGAGGGGGAAGTGCAGTCGTGCCCAGTGACGCAATAGCATTTGGTGGGGAAATGCAAAACCAGCCTCCACAGGCGGCCACTGTGCCCCACTCCATGAGACAGGTGAGCCGCCGCTCAGTGTTTATATTCTTCTTCATATTCTTCTTTTGTATTCTTCTTCATTCTTCAAGTCAACGTTTTGTGAACTGAAGGTTCTCAACTGTGTCACATGTGGCCACTGTGTTTCTACTTTTATCTTTTGAAAGCTGCTGTGTTTTGTGAACTCTGCTTGGTCATTTTGGTTCTGGAGGATATCCAAAAGAAACAGCATTTAAGGAATAGCTGAACATTTTGGGGCATGCGTTTAGATGCTTTTCTGCAGAGATTTAGATCAGAAGATCCTTTCTATGTACAAAAGCGACTAAACGCATCTCCCCACAAGTCAAACATATTTATTTAAAGGCATTGTGATTTTTTTAAGTTTGTTTTTTGTGCCATAAAAATCAGAAATCTTCATTGCTGTTGCAGTTTTCATTCTTAAAGCAAATTGCTCTGAAGTAGGAGATGATACAAAAGTTTAGAATAAACTAATATGGTGTTTGGATGAAGCTGACTGAGGATGTGTGTAACTCACGGATGAGCAACGTAAAGAATTCCTAAAATAAGCATCAAAAAATATAAGATACTATGAGCTGTGCACTTGTTCTGCGAGGATAGAAGGTGTGTGCCGTTTGAGCTGAATTTAGTGTTTAATGCGTATTATTTTCTTCCCGTGTCACCCTTCAGCTAAATAAAACAAGAACAGTGTGGGCCTTCATACAGTATGTTTAAATAGACTAAGGTCTGCCCTCCCACTCCCTCTGCACCATTACTCATAACCTGCAATCTCATCCCTTCAAGAGGTAGCTCTCCTTCTCCGGTCGCTTCTTAAGAAAAGCAAGAAAAAACTTTGTCATACATCTTTCCTTAACTTTCTGTCTGTGTCACGTGCTTGTAATGTGTGTTCAGTTTATTGGGCAGGAAGTCACACTGCTCTTCTTTTGCACTTAAAGAACTCACTCTGTAGGTTAGACACCTAAAATAGGCTGTCAAAGCCAATGCAGAATCTGTGTGTGTTGCTTAAAAAATTAATCCAAGATACGTTTAATTCTTTAATACACTGTTGTTCAGATGTCAAGATGGTTTAAACATTTATATGACGAATATGTTCTCATTAATACTGAAGCATGCTATTGTTGTATATGATTGTGTATGCAGCTGCCCAGCTAAAATACATCCTAAAATACCCTCTATTATTCTTCTTTTATCACAGTAACTGCCTCAAAGGGCTGTGCACACAGTATATAGGGGTGTTTTCCTGTTTCATTTTTCATATTTGTGTAGAATTTCAGCAGTGGCTTTCTGTAGGAGTGCATCCATCACAGGCTATTAGTAGTGGCAGCAGCAAACACCAAAAAAAAAATGGAAATCATGAGCAAAAAATGAAGTTATTGTTTGTTTTGAACATTTTATATTCATACTTTGTGTGTTTCCAGGTGAGAGATGGTGCAATGTCAGACCTGCAGACACAGTTAAGAGAAGTGCTGAGAGAGAATGAACTACTGCGCAGAGAAGTAAGGACTTTTCCACACATACATATTTTATTTTGTTTTTCACAATAAATGGCGTCTTTTTTTCCCTCTGTTTGTTTGCTTGTGAGTTCCTCTGGGAATTCTGCTGTCTTGAATTTAAAGCGCAGATTATAGCCATGAGGATGAGCTGAAAGTCAGTGTATTAAATAATAGGAGGCAAGTTGATCTGTAAATTCAATCTTTTTAGGTTCAAGCGCAGACAAATAAAGATTTATTGCAGCAAAGTGACAATGTTTGATATTTATTGCTTACAGCTGGAGGGCAAAGAGTCCAAGCTGAGCTCTTCTATGAACTCCATTAAGACATTTTGGAGCCCAGAGCTGAAGAAAGAACGAGCGCTGAGGAAGGACGAAGCCACGAAGATGACTGTGTGGAAGGAGCAGTACAGAGTGGTTCAGGAGGAAACACAGGTAGGCAAATGATGCGTGTTTCTGTGATGCAAAATCTTTTGACAGTGAATTACTGTTTATCTGGAATGTCTTTGCTCGTCGCTCAGCCGAAAAACAAATTAAGAGATGTAGGGGAGCAGTATGTCAAGTGTAATATCCTGCTCAGGCTCGCTTAATTTCACCATCGCTGCAGCTCATCTATTATGTGGATTTTCTTTAACCCTTTAACCGCAAACATCTTCTGGACATTTTT